GTGCTATTGACACATGCACGTGAAGCTCCAGGAAGGGTTCAGGACACCTCGAATGTTCCATGTGAAGCAAAGGAAATGTCATAATCTGGAGGGACTCCTGTGGAAATGGCTGGCAGCCCTGCGCCTGGTTGAGATTATAAGGCAGCTGCCAGCCAAATCCTCTCCCTGTTAGCAAACAAAAGGGGAGAGGAGCTATTTCCAAAGGAAGGCCCTTAAAGCACAACAGCTGTCTCGTCCTTCTAGAGGTCCTGAAAAGCTGTTCTACAATCGTGCTTCAGTGCAATGGAGTTTGAGGCCTGTGTTTCATACTCATTTTTAATTTGGGAGACAGTCTGGAATATGGGACAGGTAGGTGGACTGAGGGAGAAGGAATTCCAGGTCTCATCCAATGTCTGTCACTTCCTGGGAAAAGTGACTTTTAAGGCACCCAATGAGTAAATGCCTGCAGTTATTATAATGACTCAACCCTTTGCCAGAAAATTTTTCTTTTAATAAATATTTAAATGGTGTTGGGAGAAAACGGGGAGATAAGAACTGGCAAGGTCTGTACTTATCAGGACAGATTTCCGCTTTATTATACACACACTGTCGAAATGTGTAAGTTGGAAAGAGTTTCCTTCCCAAAGTCAAATCAAATACCTTTTCTGGAGCCAGGCTGACCCTGTGGGTTGCAGGAGGAACTATTCCTTCCCTTCTCTGCTCCACATCTTATCCTCCCAGATGTGGCAGAAGTGGGGGTGGGAAAGGCAGATGCACAGTGACCCTGTGCCACTGTCCCTCCTTCCTGGTCCCCAGTGTTTGCTGAGTTCAACATATGCTTTCTCTTCCTTGTCACCTTTGGTCAGTTAATGTGGAGAGCAGAGCAGTGAGAGGATCTTCACAGGGAAATACCCAAATACCAGTGTTTCACTGGGAGAACTGTGGGTGAGCCCTGAGCTAGGAGAAGCTCTTAGAACTGAGATGGTTTAAATTAGAGCCTCAAAATGATCTGTGATGAATCCTTTTCCTGCCTCCCACCACCGCAGGTGGCAGATACCTTGGTAAAAGCTACCCGTCAGCCCCCAACCCCACATACGCAGACATGTCTGTACAGTATGACAAGCCTCTGGGGTTTACAAAGGAATGGTTTCAGCATCTGGTTTGGGAGATCCTTTAAGAAGGACTTAGATAATTTCTTTCTTTTTTTTTAAAGTAAGATTGTCTTTCGGGCCAAGTTGCTTATACACCTATGGGCATGTCTCCAACGCCTTGGCTATTAAGGTCTCTAACTGACAGCTTAATACATTTTTAAGACGGAGGGAGCCAACGACATTTCTCGAGGAGCTGTGTTTATGTTGGACCGGCTGCCCAGGCAGCCTGCCAGGAGCTCTGCCCGCCGCAGGAACTGGAGGTGCAAGAGGGAAGGGCCGGGTACAGAGGGGAGGATGGAGCTGGAGGAGGGAAAGGCAGAGGGATGTGCTGTGGGGGGTGGGGGGAGACACCGGGCTGGGCCTGGCAATGCGTTTAACCACCATGTCCGGCTCCTCCCACTTTGCATTCAAGGGTGAAAAATAGGACCTTTTGGAGCCTGGCCACTGGCACACGCACCGTCAAGAGTGAACATGCTTTTAGCTGTCTTTGTTCCTGTTCGTTCTAAATTCCTGAAAATCACTCCTTGGTGGCCAGGGGGCCTGTATCCTTGTGGAGCCCCCTGGGCTTCAGCACACCTCCTCAGCCATCTGAGGCAGGGGGCTGGGCCCCCTCTGGGTCTCAGTGTCCTTATCTAAAAAGCAAAAAGAGCTCCATGTTCCCTTCCAAGTGTAAAATGCTATGCTTCATGCCTGGTAAACTCTGTTCTTTGTAAGTAGATTTTGTATCACTGGGGCTAGAAGGAAGACAAGACCATTTGGTCACTGCCCTAGCTTATCAAGGCTGAGCAACTGGCTTTGGTTCAACTGATTGCAAATTACTCTTTAGATGGGACAGTCATCAAGAAAAATGCATCTTTCATTCACCAAAAGACCCCTTTCTACATTCGCACACCCACTGAAATATACTATTATCACAGAAAAAAATGACGACGAACTCTCTTTGAGAGCTCATGTGCTGAGCCCTGTATATCCATCAATGCATTAAATGACCAGTCACCTTGGGAGGTAGATGGCTGCTCCCATCTCACCAATTTTCGGTAAGGGTACAGCCTCAGAAGCTAATTAACTTGCCCAAGAGCACACAGCTAGTAAATAGGAGAGTCGGCATTTGAACCCAGATCTGGTTATAAGAAGACCAGTACCAGTATTCTTAAATACACTGAATAAACAATGCAAGAGAAAATCTACAGTTTTGGTCAAGGTCACCAAGAGAAATGGCACTTGGTCTTTAAGGCCGTTTGGACCAAGGAATGTTGGCTATTTCATCATTCTCAGGGAACTTTCTGTGCTAGGATGTCTTCTCTTTCCCAGTAGGAAAACAAATAATGGCTCAAGAGCAGCCATTGGGAGCATTTGACTTAACACATTAAAGAGGAGGTAGGGAACCCTTTCTAAGCTCTGCCATGAGACCCAGGGTGAGTCCCTCAGTCTGTCTGGGATTGGTTAGATGATCTTTAAGGCTACTCCAGTTTTGGGATTTTATCTTCTCTCTTGAAAACCTTTTTCTGACTTTCCAGCTTCTGGGGATCCCCTGCATCCCCCTCCTCTTGGGGGCAGGGCAGTGGAGACAGCTTCTGTGACATTCTAAAACCATTTCTCATTTTGTAAATAGGTCCCTTGCAGCTCTGAGTCTATGAAATCGTTTCAAAATGCCAAAGTGTGATTATGCATCCTGAAGCCAAATATTATTAACAACCTCATCCTCCAACCCCACACTGTTGCAGGTTTAAAAAGTAAATGTGCAATAAAAGCTTCTCAGCATGCTGTTGATGACACAATGTTTAATCACTGTTTTAACAGTCAGCAAGAGGAGCTTCTCCCCCACTCCCTTCCATTCCCTGAACTTCTGGAGTCGAAGACTTTGGTTAACCTACAAAGTGGTGATCTTCCTCCTCATTGTCACAGTCCCAAGAGGTAAAAAATATCTGCCCTTTCATCTCTACCCACCACATTCTTTTCCTAAGCCTGTAATTGGATCTTAAAGGAAAATAAACCCTTTGCAGGCCCAGGAAGTTGGCACTAGAGGGTGACAAGAAGGAGAACATGTTCCACCTCTAATCCAGATAATCACACTCTCTTGTGCAAAAGAAAATAAAAACAAGTCTTCCTCCGAGTGTTTGGCCTCAGCTTGTGGGGAGGGGAGGGGCATTTCCATGTACCCTATCCTCCTTCGCATATTAACCACCAGCCAGCCTGTAGTAAAACCCCAAATCATCTGACTTTCCAGAGGACACTGGGACTCTGCCGGCCCCTTTAGCTCTGAACTTTTTTTTTACCTCAGCTGAATTTGGGAGTTCAGACACACAGATACCCTGGTGCTACAACAAGTTAAAAAACAGTAACGTCCAAAATGTACTGAACACTATGATCTTAGATGGACAGATATTCAGTGGTTCCTTGGCATTAGTACTGTTGTGTACAGCTTGCTGTGTTGGAACAGAGATGAGCAGGAAAGGTTTACCTTCAAGGGGGTTAGAAAAAAAATGCTTCGTAGAGAAGTAAGAGCCATGCATGCATGACTCATTACTAGGTAGAAATTAATAGGTATCTTACCAAGGACTAAAGGGTTATGAGAATTCCATAGACGGAGGAATGACTTATTCTGCAAATAGTCCGGCAAATGGGGTATGGTACATTCCAGAGAGATGCCCTGATTGCGCCCGACTTGGTGTACACATTCAGAAGGGTCCTCTGGGCTCCTTGTGTAGGAGTCTGGGGCGGAGCCGTTGGGCAGTGGCTCAGCTATAAATCAGATGTGTGAATGCGGTGCCTCTAAGTGGCTGGCTTACATTTTTATTTTTATTCTGACATAGTGGTGTTTTGTTTTGTTTTGTTTGCCTGTCATCTACCCTACAGGTGATAGCAGATTTCTAGGGAGAACTTTGTGAGACGAAGTCCACTGAAATCAGAGTTTAAAAATGACTGCTTTGAGAGATTAACCCACAGGGTATCATCACTGTTACTGCTTCTGGGAGGTTGGTGGGGCCTATTATCTCCAACTCAAGAGACAAGGAAACTGAGGGTCAGAGAAGTGACTGGGTCATTATGGTGCAGTTAAAAAGTGGTGAGGCCAGGGTTTCCATGCCCAAGGCTTTCCTTATGCTCTGCTGCCTGCTGGAACCAGCTCTCTGTGACCCTGAGCATCAGTTTCCCCATTGGCTTAGGACAGCTTTCTGCTCCCTTCCACTTCACACTTCCTCTAAGACTGGACTGTACCCTCTCCCAGCTGCACTCAGGTAAGTAACAGGCTGGTACTGGAGCTATAGGCACAGCTGTAGGGCCCTCCTGAAATAATCCACCCCTGACCTTCTGGGCTCCGGGCCAGCCCTTCTGGAAAGGGAAACATGCAGACTCTGGGGACAGAAATTAGTTCCCTTGTGCTGGAACTGCTGCCACTGTCAACATCAAAACTGGCTTTATGATGTGCATGTGTGTGTGTGTCTGTGTGTGTGTAAATCACAAAACACTACAATCACAGCAAAAGGGGAGATTCCTTGTGAGTAAATATCACACCCTCCCAGCCTTCACCCCAATTACCAGAGGGGGAACAGAAGCGGAAGGTAGGGTCCTCCCAACCCACCACTATAGGATTAGCATTAAAAAAAAAGTTTTACCTTATTTAAATTTTAATTAGCGTCATCGAAGAACAAAGATCCTTTGCAAACATATTACACAACTGCTTGTAAGAGTAAAATCTGGGGTATGCCTGTTAGCTCACACATGCATTACCAATTGTTCTATGTTCTGTGAAGTTTTGAAATTTAATGAATTTTCTTCTCCTTAACTTTTAGGCAAACCTCCCCAAACACATGGTAGAGGAAAACGGGGGAAAAGAAAGAATCTGGTAAGTACAGGCAGATCCCAGCTCACCTTTTGAACGCCTGGGTTGAGGTCCTTAGCCACCTTTGCCATGTTCTGAGGTGGAGAAACAGCGCCTGGCTTCTGCGGCAGAGGCGCGAGGGCGCGCAGCGGCGGGGACAGCGGTGGCTGAATGGCCAGGTTCCCGGGCCGGGGGGGAGCTCTGCGAGCAGCCGGGCGCAGCGGGGCCCTTTAATTGGAGAGTGGGACTCCCTCTAAAACCTCGCCAGCCAATCCGCGCCGGCGCTTGCACTTGGCCCGCCAATCCCAGCGCGTGGCTCCCCCCTCCCTTTGGGTGGCCTCGGCCGGGAGGCTCCTGGGGAGCAGAGGCAGCGCTGCCTTGACGTCAGCGCGGCCGCGGCCCCTGCCGGCCCGGGCGGCGCACATCTGCCCCTCGAGCGGCAGGAATCCGACCCCACGCCCTTCTCCTTGTAAGGAAACCGGGCAGAGGGTGGGGCGGGCTGCTGGGCCCCGCAATCTATTCAGGTCAAAAGGGAGAGCGATCAAACAGGAAAGGCTGTGGTATTTTTAGTGAGCTGGGTCCAAAAATAAATGCTGAGCTGCGTTCCCCTTCCCACCCTTTCTGCCTGTCAAAGGGTGGGGAGGGGAGGGGGCAGGTGGTCTGCGGCAGCACTGACTCAGCCTGCTCAAGCCTCCCCCACCCTGGGCAACCCCTCCAGTCACCAGAGAGGGGTTCAGATTCCAATGGGTTACCAATTTTTTTTTTTTAATTTGATGTTTGAAAATATTAGCCTGCCTTCTGTAACTTCTTTAGAGGAAGACTCCCAATTCAGTGAGGAAGAGAATGCTATCCTGGTTTTATAAATGCCCACCTGTACCTCTTCACACCTGTTCCTGTTCCCACGTTGTCTCCCCATAATTATCTCAGGTGTAATTATATGGCCATGACGAAGATTGCTATTATCAGGCCCATTTGATAAGATGAGGAAATAGGATCAGAGAGGGTAACTGATCCAAAGCTGAACTTTTCAGCAAGGCTGATTGAGTGACAACTCACGTGGGGGACGGAACGAGGCCAAGCATTACAAGCTGTAACTAAGAAATTCATATTTTTTGCAAGATGTTGGTGGATTGCTCACATACTTGGGATGAAGTATCTTGTAACATCTAACATCTCCTATAAGACAAAAGCGGCCAGGTCTTCTGTGGCTATGCCATGCTGTCTGTCTGGAAGCCCTCATCTCTCTGTTGAGCCAGTTCCACAGACCTGGGGTTCCCACAGGCATTTTACCTGCTGGGATGTAGAATGAAACGCAAGCTCTTTTTCACCCTGGGGAGAATACTGTTTTGCCGGCCATGCGTTTTTGTTTTTTTTTACTAAAATAAGACCAGGTTGCAGGGAGCCTGAGGGGGCCTCTGAGTACCTCCTGTGGGACTGATTTTGGGGGAGTGGGTGAGCTGCAGGTCACATTCTAAGACTTTTGCTCTTATTGGAGGTAGTTTCCTTCCTAAAGCCTTCTCCAGTTTGGTTCGTAGCACATCATTATCTCCAGTAATCCCAAATCAGGACCAATGATTCCAAATCGTGCTTCTTTTTTCTCATTCCTGGAAAGGGCTTTCTGTTTTCCAGGTGATTACCCTTTTCCAAGATGAGGGATGGCCTTTTCTCCTTTCATGGATTTCTGCAATGATTGATGTTTGTTTTGCTTGCCCCCAGCTGTACACACAGACGCCCAGGACACACGTGTCGAATGAATGAAGGTTATGTTCTGGCTTTTAATCAGCAGTGAGCAGGCCAGGCAGAAATAGGGAGAGATGGTGCAATGCTCCACCCTGTCTGGTTTGTCCAAACTTCCCAGGTGGGCTGCATGTTAAACTCCTGTGTAAATAAACGGTGGCCAACAGAAGCCTGGCCTGGGAGAGGTTTCCACGTGAATGGGCCTTTCAGTAGCAAATCCTAGGAACAATAGTGCTGAACTGGGATGTCATGCCAGAAGTCTTTATATTTCAGAGCTATGGGAACAGAAGCCAGGAGAATAACAAAGCCAAGCTTTATCCCTTGCAAACTAGGCAGAAGCCTTCCCAGTGAAGTCATTTCTCACTGCCTTCCAAGCCTGCCTTTCTTGCCCCATCTTGGGAAATCATTGCTCTGTGGAATAATTCTGATTTTATTAACATTAGCTCCAAACACAAGACCTCCGGCCTCTCTCATTTTTACCCTTGGCCCTAGTTTCAGTGAAGGAGGCTGATGTGGAGTCTGTTTCTCAGAATGTAGGAATGAGGAGCTACTGCTTGGGGTTGCCCAGTCTCTACCTTCTGGAAAAGAACCTGTGTGGGCACAAAGGTGGTACCCAACTCCCTGTGAGAGGTGGCTCTCTTCCTGGCTAAGGATGCTGTCTCTTAATCTTTAAAACATACTTTTGAGCTAAATATTTAGGGACCTATATTCAGAGTCTCGGCTGGACACCTGGACAGACTACTATTATTTGAGACTGTTCTATAAAGTAGAGGAGATGTGGCCATTACACCTCAGGCTCACTCCAGCTCTGAGATCTGTATGTTTCTCTTTGGAAGAAAATGGAGTACCTTTTGCAGCTGGGAACAGTAGAGAGATCTGATTTCCCAAGGCTTCATGGCTTTGTGGTGCTGGGGATTATTTGAAGCCTCGGTCATCCATCAAGCAGTTTTGGGGTACCTGCCTGAAGCCATGCTTTGTGCTAGGTGCTGGGGACATCCAGGTACATAAAATAATCCTTCCCCTTCAAGGATATGTTGGTCTAATAAGTATCAGTGCCGGGGGAGGTGTCTCTGGTTGACAAAGCACTTGTCTTACTTGAACGTCAAGACAACGATGGAGTAATTTTAATTATTCTCTCATAATTCCAATTATTTCTCTGGGAGAGAAATGGAGATTTTGGACAGTCAAGGGTATTATTCAAGGTCACACAGCCAGTAAGTGGCAGAGCTGAAGTTTGAACTCACAGCTTCTAAGTCTGGACTCTGTCCTTCAACTATACCACATGACCTCCCATAATAAATCTCAAGGACTGATTGCAGGGAAAAGAGAAACTATTTGGAGTGAGATGGCGGTGGTGTCATCATTATCAGAGGGTTTGTCCTAACTGGGATTTTTATATTCTGAGTTTCATGCTTTTTCACTGTTTTACCTGTTCATTCATTCAACAAACATGGTGCTGAGAACTATAATGGGTTAGGCCCTAAGCTGAGGATTCACAGATGGTGAATGGAATTGGGAAAGTTCCTCCCCTCACCCAGTTTCTATTCTAGTTGGGGGAGACAGGCATTAAACAGGTGGATACTTAAATAAGGTAACTGAGGATGGCAGTGGTGCCTCAGAGGAAATAAATAGAGGAGAGATTCACTAGATGTGTGGTCCATTCAGATTAGGTGGTCCAGGAAGGCCTGACTGAATGAGTCAGCTATGAGTAGAATCGCCATGGAAAGAACATTCCAGAAGGATGGAGTCATGCATGCAAAGACTGTAAGGTGAGTATGAGCTTGTCGTGTCTGAGGGATCATAAGGTTAGTGTGGCTGGAGGGTAATGAGGGGAAGATGCATGAGGGACCTGGGGGAGATGGGTAAGGACCAGTTCACACCGGATCCTGCTAAGCCGTTTAAATTCTTCTCTGAGAAGAGTGGGAAGTTACAGATCAGTGCTTTCCAACTGATACGTAATGTACACCACACATCATTAAAAAAATTCTGATAACTACATTTAAAAAAAGGAAAAACAGGCAAGCTATTTATAGTACCTTTTATTTTAAACCCAGTAGATCCATAATGTTGTCTTTTCCACCTGTGGCTGATAGAAAACATTACTGAGATGTTTTACATCCTTTTTTTTTACACAGTACATCTTTGAATCTGGTGTGTTTTACACTTAGAGTACAAGTCAGTTCAAATCAGCCACATTGCAAATACTCAGAAGCCACCAGTGGCTGCAGTGTTGGACAGGGTGAGTATAAGAGAGTTTTAAGCGGGGGAGTGACAGTGTCTGATTTACTATTTAACTCACAGCAAGGACTCTCGAGCTACTAATGTAGACCTAGCTGGTTTCTAACAACCCCTCATTATCAGATGGAGAGACTGAGGGACTGAGATCCAAAAATTACGTGTCTGGTTGACTCTGTTTTTCAAGCACGGTGCCCGAAGTCAAAGCCAGAGAAAGGCCAATCAAGACCTTCATACAGGACACTTCAGGAAATCCTGGACAATCATGGTTTTGTAGCAGGCATGGCTTAGTCATTTTAATATGCAAACATGAGTGATAGTTTCTATTTGGTTATGATTTTTTAAATGTATTGTGTTCAATAAAACACTCAACACTTAAGAGTAGGTAGATATAAATAATCTAGGAACCACACAGTATATTTTAATGTGTATTAACTGATATAAATAATGTAGGAACCACATATATACTTTAGTGTGTGTGTGTATGTGTGTGTGTGTATACACCATGAATCACTTAATATAGTTTAATTTGTATTGACTTGGACTGTGATATATACCACATATATGACTCATTCATAACTTAAGTTTTTTGGTTTCTTTCCTGCCATTCCTACAGTAACTTTAATTTTAGAATAACTAATTTTTGCCAGATTTTTGGATAGCCTCCTAGATCAAGAAAGGCTTTGCCTATAAGGCCAAAACATTTGGGTAAAAACAAAACATGATTGTTGGACCTGAATATTCTCGTGCTGTATAGCCTGACTTTGACAAGGACAGTGGAAGACACAAGAAGAACCTGTCTGTTATGAAGGAGCACTGGCTCTAGAGTCCAGATCCCTGCATTTTGATCCTAAATCTAAATGATCCTCTACTAAAAATGGTGTGGCTGACCATCATCCACAAGGCCACTTGCAACTTAAATTTATTATTATTTACTGGGAGCAACTCTGATCGACTTGCTCTAAATATCGGATACATAGCCGAGGGGCTGGTGCAGTGAAGCCGCTCCCTTCTTCATCAGGTTGACGAGGGAATGGAAGGAGGGCGAGATGTAGACCCAGAAAACCTCTCTGTGTGTTTCAGCTCCATCAGGGGAGCAAGCTCAGTGATGAAGAATCTCTGAAAAATGAGGTTAATGATCTTCATTCCTCCTGCCTTACCAAGTATATTTATTGGTCTGTAACTGTCTGTAGTGGGCAGGATCCTAAGAGGCTTCCCAGTGATCCAGGTCCTTGTAGAATCCCTTC